TTGTTGTCATAGATTTTCTGCTTGTGAGTATACCAAGTTCATGGCCCGTCAAATTGGCCCGGTCGGGATTGTGGGGCAGTTGAAGACGAGATTACTTCGGATTCGAGGGCGAATCCTTTTCGACAGGGGGAGAATGATGGAGATAATGATGTTTAGAATCTTCAATTATTATTATTATTATTATTATTATTATTATTATTATTATTATTATTATTATTATTATTATTATTATTATTATTATTATTAGTGCTATTATAGATTTGTTAGGAAACTTATTATTTATCACTTTTGTTAGGATTCTTGTCTTGTTACATAAGTTAGTATTGTTAGGATTCTTGTCTTGTTGGACAAGTTAGGATTAGGCTTTATGAGCCTTATATAAAGGACTCCCCCTCTTTTGTTATCTGAAGTTGATTTGAATAAAAATATGAATTGATTGTGAGTTTTATCGAGAGAGTATCTCGTTTTACGTGTTTTACGAGAAAGTATCTCGTTTACTCGTATTGTATCTTTTCCCATTCGTATGTTTTTTCCTACATCAGTTCGGAAGTTTGTTTTCCCCATCTAAACACAAAAACTCCAAGTTGGATTTCAAATATTGATTATTCGAGACGAATTGAAAAACTAGCGACAATAAAGAACTTCAAATAGTTCACAAACAAAGACGATAATCAATCATACTATATTAAGTTATTAGTTATTAACACAAGGTTGAAGTTGTATTTATTAATAAACAAATTTAAAATAAGTCAAGTGATCATAGATCATTACTATATCATTTTTATATATAATTTCAGAATGTGATGAGACTAAGCGACACATTGACAATCTTTCATGACAAAATATTATGCTTGTTGGAAAAATCAGTTATAAAACTTGGGTTTGACCTGGTTTTGACTGAATTTTTTATGGCTAAATATTTAATTTGAGTTGAATTAAATATTGTAGAAAAATTCTACGTTCCGAGTAGATACTCGTGATATATTTATTTTTTCAAAACTAATTTTCGGTGAGTGAGAAATAAATTGTTAAAGCCATAAAAGGGCACGTAAAACGTTGGTTGTGGGATTTGAAGGGTCAAGTGTCTCTCCCACATTGGACTCTTAATTGAGTTTAACTCTCTTTATTATTATTATAATAAAGAGAGTTGAAGAGGTTACAACAAGCACAAAGCTATGCACCAAGTGTTGGTGTTGTTTTCGGCCACACGCGCGCGCCGGCCGGCCGGCTCGGGCTCGGGCCCGGGACTTGGGACTTGGTTCTTGGCAATTGGACTTTGGGCTGTATTTGGGCGGCCTTGGGCGATTGGGCCTTGGGCCCAATCACCATATATCTTTTTGCTGCAAATTTATTTGCAATTTTGGGTCCAACTGAAAAATCCAATTTGGATTTGGACTCGGGTTTTGACCCAACCCGAGTGAGACATCTCCAGGTACAATGAATCTGGACACATGACCTTTCATGTGAAATATAACACCTGAACTTTCATGTGGAGTGTTAATGGCTGGTTAATGGTGTAGTAATACCTGAAACGTTTTCAGGTTAATGGTGCCCATTTATCTCAGCCTTAAGTGGCTGATGTAACTCTTCGTTCTCCCTCAGAGGTGGAAGTCCTATAAATAGGACTTAGAGTTGCAGAGAAAAGACATAACATTTTCATGCAATCTAAATATTTTCAAAGCCTCACGCATCATATCATAGTACTCAGTTATCGTCTTTGTTTCCGTTCGCTGGAACTCTGAAGGCTGGTGTGCTACAACTTCTGAGTGTATTGCTGTTGTATCTTTGGGGACATTACGCACAGACCCGTCAGCACTATACAGGGCGTATTTGTTTTGCAGAAAGATTTCAATCGCATCGGCTTTCAATCTGTCCGCATTTGAGTTGTAATTTTTATTTTGTTTTAGTTCTTCTTGTACAA